AAACGGAAGTCAGATTCGGAATCAGCGTTCAAAGACGAGTGTAATGGTACACATTCCATCGCAAAAGGCCACGGACACTAAGTATCGTTTCCTTGCGGTCGGAGCCTCAAAGTCACTTTAGACGGAGAGATCCCATTTGTTCGGATTTGCATGGGCGCTGCCTTTAATACTTTCTGGCTGCAATGCTATTTGGAACTGATGTTGAGTATCGGAGATTTTTTTCGATACTTTGTGCACAGGCATTGCTATTTAACTTCTTGATTTCCATGTAGCATCAAGGGCACCTCCAACATCAGACGCTTTCAGGTGTGGAATCGCCAGGATCTGAGTTGTGAACGGGTACTATCAGGGCATACGGGTTCTGTGTTGTGCCTTCAGTATGACGAAAGAGTTATTATATCGGGTTAGTGCTTGCTCTGTTAGTTGATCTGTATAGATTAGGATCTGTATGAGGTGCTCACAGGTTCATCTGATGCAACGGTCCGCGTTTGGGATGTTGCCACAGGAGAGTGTCTGAATACACTGATACATCACTGTGAAGCAGTTCTGCACTTGCGTTTCAATGACGGGATTATGGTCACCTGGTAAATGCATAATAATATTGGGTACTTATTTAACTCTTGTATTTTTTTCAAGTTCCAAAGATCGTTCGATTGCTGTTTGGGACATGGTGTCACCTCGCGAAATCAATCTTCGACGGGTTTTGGTCGGACATCGGGCGGCTGTGAACGTTGTCGACTTCGATGATCGCTACATAGTCAGTGCTTCAGGGGATCGAACGATAAAGGTACTAGTCGTATTTTATGAACTTTTTTTTATTTCTGCAGAAGCGTTTTTGGTATCTGTACTCGCTTATCACGAAAGAGGTGCGCTTGCAGAAGTGCAATTTAGGAAGTCCCACTTTCAATCACGCTTACTGCGACACAAATAGGAGCAAACAAGCCGAATTATTAGTAGTCATGATTTGCGAGCTTCACCCAAACATGTCAGCGGAAAGTTACCTTCTAAGAAGCGCATGACTTTTCCTGTATTTATTAAGCTGGGAGTTCATATTTCATATCAGGAAATATCAAGTTGGGACTTTGAGGTGAAGACTGACGGCCCTGAAAGAGATGACGTTTCAGCTTTCCAACCCTCTTCTGTTTTTTTTTTGTATAGGTCTGATCTTTTAAGGTTTAGGCGTCTTGTCGCACATAGCGTTATTATTTCCTTTTTACTGTTGTTTTACTTCCCTTTTTTT